CAAAAGATTTGGCAAACTTATTTCTACCGAAATTATGCTTCGCCTTTATAAAACGTTTATGTTACCCCATTTTCACTACTGTTCAATGATATGGCACTTTTGTAACTCAGAGGACTCTGTTAAACTGGACACCTTAAATAGACGTATTTTAAGATTTGTTTTAAAGGACTGGGACTCGAACTACGATGATCTTTTAGACAAGGCAGGTGTGTGTGGTTTAGCCAACAGGAGGATACAAAATATGATGATTTGTATATTCAACTGTCTCCATCTTGGTAAATATCCGTGCTATCTGAAACAACTAATCAAGCTAAGATCTACTGCTTACTCCCTAAGGGGCACGAATATTTTATCACTTCCTAAGCCGTTTACAACCACATACGGTCTAAATTCTTTTAGCTATTCATCTGTTAAGTATTGGAACTCCCTCCCTGACCACTTTAGGAAAACTGTAGACTATAGCGAATTTAAGAGCAAACTGTCAGCGCACAATTTCTGTTAATATTACATTTATATCACATATTATATTAACGATTATTATATTATTATATTATGAATTATTTTTATCTTTTAACCTGTTCTTGCTGTAATTTTAGAGTAGTAATTAGGATCGGAGATACTAGCTTATAAGCTAATCTAAAATCCGAGGATAAATAAAGTTTATGTATGTATGTATGTATGTATGCGGGTTGAAGATTTCAGACATCGTGACAACTCGATCCGTAGCTTTTCCTCTCGAATTGTCTTTGTAGATGACTTTAAGTCTAGTGTAGAGGTCTCCAAAAGAGAAGTTAAAGTCTTCACACCAGGGAAGGAGGTTCATCGTACCCTCGCGGGTTTTGTAGAGTTGGCGAATGTTCTCAATAATTTCGAAGGGATCAAAACCATCTAAGATAAAAAAGTAGGTCTTAAGTAGGTGTTAAGTCGAACTGTCAAAGCCCCCTTGGCTTTTCGAAATGTTGCAAACTGACTTTTTTTCCGAGCGAAAGTCGATACAGCGCTAAAAGGCCAGTTTTTAACAGCGCTGATCATCAAAACTGGCGCAAATCAGGAATTACTCGTCTTTCACAAAACTCTCGTTTGAGGAATTTTTTGCTTCGCATATTTTGATCGATCCTTTGTGAGAACAAATCACATAATTTTTTCTTTTTTAACGGTTTTTTTTTACACTGAAAATTATTTTTCAGTTTGACCATAGTTAATTGAGGGTTAACTATGGTTTGACAACTACTTTGCTTTTGTTGCTATGACCGTAAATATGCAACTTTTAATCTCGGCTCAGCGCAAAATTCCAGCTTCATCCCAATGATACATTTATTCAAACTAAAATAGGTTAGAGGAGTAAGGAAATATAAAAATATGTTGCGGTTTCGGCGAACTTCTAGTACAGCCAGTCAACATCATATACACGTTTTCGAAAATTCCACCCAACAATGGACAGAAAGCGGACTCAATTATTTACGTGATTTACACCCTCGACCTGAATTGAACACTTTGAAGCTGTTTCATACTTGACGATACCATAAAACAGTATTTGATCTCCACACCCATCTACAATTATGTTGCCACCGAAAGCTGATTCATCACTCTAAGCGAACTATTGTTTTGTTCACCACGCAGTAATGAGAAAGAAGAAAAGAAGTCACTGAAAGGTAAGATAGATATGAAAAATGGTCATGTTAAACCTAAATATTTTTTATTATCCATTTAGAGTGTCCTTATTAATATTACTTGAGGTGTAGTCATTACAAATCGGATAATGTACCCTGTAATTTAATGAACTAATTTATTCAAAGGACCCATCTGCTGTGTTTACAACCCAAACGTTCCCATGAAATCGCCAGAAGATAGTATATTCAGGAAAAGACACTAAATAAGCAAAGTGTATTACTATTTTCATCGATTTTTCAAGACTTGATAAACTGAAAGGAACTGCTCATAAACTTCATGCATATTGTGTCACGCAACGTAATCATGCGAAATTCAATTACGACTTCGCCCGAAAAAATATTTCACCAGGTTGTTTAAAATAAGAAAGTCGTGTATTAAGATCAAAATGACAATTTCCCCTCTCCTGTGCGCAAAACTGACGCTATGATTTGTATTTTACAAAGTAACTGGCCTAGTTTTCTACGGCGCAGCCGGTGAGTGGCCTCCCGATCCTATTTTCAGCTCTTGGTGCCTGGCGGTTCTTTGAGCAAAAATGGTTATAAAAAAGACCCCAACTAGAAGGTAGGCTCGATTACCAGCCGCTGTTCGGGAACCAGAGCCCGCGCTCCTCCCCCCAACCCACTGATGGACGCGTGAGGTTTCTTTCGTTGCTTACAGCCAGTCAGAATTTCGCCTGCAAATTTTTGTAAGGCCGCATAAATTATATTCTCAAACAAAGTTTTCAAAATGATGGACGATGATGAATTGATAAATGTGGCATGCGAACGAATTTTAGAGACAATTAAGATTGAAAGTTTAAAAGATTTACAACGAGAAGCTCTAGAGAAGCTGGTTAGCGGCCAGCATGTCTTAGTGATTCCAACCAACTGAGTAGCTAACAGGGAAGTCGCTGATTTTTCGGTTCGCGGCGTTGGTTTTTGACGCGGAGACATGACATGACGCCTTTGTTAAATGCTAAGTCAATCGTTCTTGTCATTTCTTCTCGGGTTCACTTTTGAAGATCAAGTTCGATTACTTAAATCTGTGGGAATTACAGTAAAGTTTATTTGGGTCAAAGAAACGAGTGAAGAGACCAGTCAACTCATAACGTGGCGTTTGTGTCAACGAAACGATGGCGATCCATTCCTCTCGAAAGAGAGCGTATGTCTGATTGCAATCGACGAAGCTCACTGCATTTCTCATTTGTAAGCGGAGCCATATTCGTAAAGATTTCCGTATAACCCAATACCAATCAGAAACAAAGCCGTAATCCCAAAGGTAATCTATTGTTTTGCCTCTGCTTTCTTTTATCCATGAATTGTATTCATAATGAAGTATGGGCTTCTACGGAAATCTTGCCCCATATTCGAAGCACGTTGGGTGTATAATTCATGGATTAGTAGTCCTTAACACTGAAACATAGATAGCGCAAGGCTTTCGTGCGCGACGGAACATTTTAAGCCATAGGTGCGAGAATTGAAAATAAAACAGGATAAGATGCCCAGGTGTAGTGTTCGTTGTTGCTTTCAAAACTTAGATTCTGGTAGAGAACGAAAGGGCTGTAACTTTGAATATCACACCAAGTTATGGAAATCATTCTGTACTGTAGGCTTTGACAAATACATCTTTTCAGTAATCATTTGCCACAACAACTTGAAGCCTGATTTGTGATTATTAATTTTCAAATACAAGCACGCAGTTCACTAGATTGCAGAGAATGAAAAGAAACTAATCTCTTTGGACCCCTTGAAAGAACCACATAATATTTCTCAGTGTAGTTTTATTTTCTTCTTGAAAGCGCTATTATAAATTAGTTCTTAATGATAGTTTTTTGCGGCCTCAATTCTCCCTTGATCTGCTGCGCGGTGAAGTTGAAGACGCGGTAACACCTAGCGAGATTGCGGAGGGCATGTAGGATCTTAGAGTACGGAATGTAGTCAATAATTAATTAGGGTTCTCTTTTGTGTTGCTGCTGTTTCTCGCCGTCTATTAGCGTTTTTTCACCAGTTAGTTAGCTTCTGTTGTTTTCCATATCACTTTGAACCAATAATGAACTTTCGTTCATTATTGGTTCTTTCGCAGTTATTGGCGTTGATTGCATTTTCCGTTAGTCGTTTTCGCATGATTAATGTTAGTTCTTCGTGCATATATAAACCTAGTTTTCTCTCTTCAGGGCCCTCTTGTTTTCGTTGGTCGCGCTAGTTGCAGTTCGCTTTCAAGGAGTTCATTCTTCATTTCGTCTTCGGACAGTGGTTTTTCGTCAAGCGCAGTTTTGCCGTAATCGTAACAATGTAAGTATTTTCGTTTTAAGTTGGCTCAGTGTATTTCTTTCCTATTACCTTTACTTAATCAATTGTCGTAATTTTGTATTTATTTATGAGTTTTAAGTTTCAACCCAAAACGTTCACCACATCGTTCGACGTCATTAAATCGCCTTTTTTTATCAGTAACTGTGGTGTTGGGAAGTTACGATGGCTGCAGTCACAGGGCACACCACGCTTCGTTCCATTAATCGCTTCAAAATTTTCCTTGAACGAGCGATGAAGGGTATTTGTATCTTTTCGGAGCCTTTCAAGGCGCTTGACTTGTCGATAGCAGTCATCGTTACAAATGTAACCTTCCACGTCTATACGAGAAAGAGGAATCTCCACTACGCCGCAAATTCTTTTCCGCTAATCAGACACCTTAGATTTCTT